ACCTCCTCGCCTCTGCCCGGCCTCCTGCGGCCACGTCGTTCTCCGCTTCTTGCCGCCTTGCCGACCGGTTCTGGCTCGCGCCGCGTCACTTTGCCGTCGCGCCACGTCGCTTCCGTCGTGGACGCCGACGACTCGGCCGACTCGACCAGTCTCTATTCAGCGCCGCTTCCGGGGCCGCACTCGTCGACGTCGACGTCGGCGTCGCTGCTGGTGCTGCTGCTGTTGGGCGGTCGGCAGGACGGCGACGCGCCTGACGCCGCCTCGCTCGGCTCCAGGCGAGGTCCGCTCGACTCGCAGACCCTTCCACAATTGCGACTGTCCGGCACCGGCACCAGCGGCGGCCGCGGCCGCGTCCAAGCCTCGGAAGAGGCAGAGGCGCGCCAGGCCAGACGACTTTCCGTCGGACCCGATCGCGGCTTGGGCTCGCCGTTCGACCGGCTCAAGTGGAGACTCAAGCGGATGGTGCGCAAGAGGCCGCCGTTCGGTAAGCCTCTCCGACTGCGTCGTCTCGTCGAAAAGCTCCATTTCGCACGACTCCACTTTCCGCTTGAACGGACACGGCTTGGTTGATGCCGGTTGGCAAGTGCATGAAGAAGACATTCGTGGCTTAAACTCAGCAGAAGAATCGTGTGCTACTGCAGCCTTTTAGTATCATCGAATTGGTTACCTGGTTGAGTGATAAATAAAAAATCGTGATTAGACTTTTTTACATATTCTAAGCGTAGATATAAAGACCCAAATTTTGTGGCCTTTTTTTGGTGGTAGCCCCGTTTTGATGCATAGAAATGGTTTGACCTCGTTTTTGCAACTTGGTCTTGTTCTTATGGCGACCTAGTTGTAGACAGCTCGTCCGTGGTCATCTTCTGCAGTAGATATGCTAACGCCGGAAATAAGTATAGCCATCAGAAGAGAGGACTTCGGACAGGGTGCGTCCATTTAGGTCGCCCTGGCAACACGACCAAGTTGCGAAAAGGAAATCAAACTACTTGTCGAGTAGACCTTCATTTCGTAAGAAAGTGCATGCATAAAAGATTCGCAAGTCATTCGCACCAGAAGAGAACGGTTGAATCCCGACGTACTGCATCAGTTTGGCTTCGGGGGACAACG